AGAAGAAGAAGAAGAAGAAGAAGAAGAAGAAGAAGAAGAAGAAGAAGAAGAAGAAGAAGAAGAAGAAGAAGAAATCAATTTCAGAAACTGTGTCATGAAAATATAATGATTATTATTTATAAAGTCCTTTCTTGTGAGTTAATAATCATTTCTTCTCCAAACCATTGCTTTTTAAAAGTTAAAATTTCATCCATCTTTGATCATCATAGCCCTGCCACATCACTTCCATCATTTGGGAGAGACAGGCAGACAGACAGACAGAGACAGAACATGCATTCATGCACATGTGCCACAGCGTGCATGTGGAGGGCAGGGACAGTTCCAGGTGTCAGTTACCACAGTCTCTCCTGTTTGAAGCAGGACCCCTTTCTTGTTACTGTAAAATGCCGGGCTAGCTGGCCTATGAGTTCCCAGGGATCCTCATGTCTTCGCTTTAGGAACACTGGGGTTACAGACATGAATCACCACATCTGGCTTTTTTGGTAGATTCTTTGGATTCAAACTCAAGTCCTAATGCATGAACAGCAAGTACTTTTCCCACCGAGTCCTCTCCACAGCCCCAGCACTTTATTTCATAAAGCACTTCAAGTGTCCATTCTTTGGTCAGTACTCAGGAATCAGATATATTTTTCAAATGTCATTTCCTATTACCATTTCCTATCACAGGCTCATTTACACTTAGCACAGTATCTGGTGTTTTTCAGCTTAATCTCTCTCTCTCTCTCTCTCTCTCTCTCTCTCTCTCTCTCCCTCTCTCCCTCCCTCCCTCCTTTCTCTCTCTCTCTCCTTTCTTGCTCCACTCTCCCTCTGCCTGTGCCTCTCTCACCTATGAGTCATTATAATTTCAGTAGAAGCACAATAGAGGGTTAGAACCTGTCGCCCACACTCCACTGTAAGTGAAAGGAACCAGAAGACAGCTTCTCTTCTTATAAATGTCAAGTGTTCACCTTTCTCTATTGAGGGCTGAATAGAACTTCAACCTTAAAGACCTAAGGCCTGGGGTCTGAGCAAAGCTTTGCGCTTTCAGAGACCAAGCTGACTCCCCACAAGGCCATCTTACTGGTCATTCTACTTTGTTCTTCCATCAGGCTGATCAATCTGTAGTACTAACTTGGTACACGGTTGTTTGTTCAGATGTGGTGGGAGAACCCACCCCATTACTGACCCACAAAACAGTCAGCAAAGCATTTCCTGGTTTCTCTTCTGGGGGACAACCCCCTAACCCACCAAAGGCAAGGTAATATGAAAGACACACAAATGGACAATTCTCAAAGTTAGCACACACTCCCCAGCACTTGTCGCTTGACTGATCAGTTCACACGGGGAAGAGGAGTCTGGTGACCTTTCTCCCAAGTCTTTGTAAACATTGTTTCCCCTGTCTTAAGCACCCTTCACAATGCTACAAGCTACACTGTACTAACCATCACTTATGCTTGGTCCATGCTGGGTGGAAGAAGGTTGCAGAAAACATACCCTAGAGTGTGTCTTGGTTTTTATCATACCTTTGATGAGTACATCTCAAAGTCTTATTTCTGCAAGCCTTCCCTAGGTATGTGGTAGGGAGGATATCAAATGAGGTTAAAGTAAGAAATCCAACGAAAGCTGCGTTTTGCCATCGAGACGATTCTGTTGCATTCGGAAAAGAGACGTGCATTTAGGCATTTTGAGGATGTGACCATGCAGAGACAGAAAGGGGAAGTGTGAAACCCAACTGGCCTTCTGTATTTCCCTCCGGAAAATAGCTCACAGTTTTAATTGCCCACCATGTTTGGCAGCTCAGAAAGAAAGTGGCAGTGCACCAAGCCCTACTGGAGCAGCCTTCAGGATTAGAAAGGACTCCACACCTTGGAGAGCCTAGGAGACAGGAGAATCATTTTAAATGCAAATTAAATTGAGGGGGTAGCAGAAAAGAACACATAAAAGACGGTAAAACAAAACCTTTCAATTTTCTTAAATTAGCAGGCTAATGTGTTCTAAAGAGCAGCCCCACTCAGATTCCATCTTGGGGGGGGGTAGTATTTCATCACAATATAAAACCGGCGAATCCATCATTTCCCTCCACTCTGTGCTCTTGACTGGAGATTGAAGGGAAAATTAGAAGCTGTTCATTTGGGCTTGCCGGCTCAGCAGCCCGGCTCAGTTTGCTTTCTGCTCTCCGGCAGCATTCTGTTGAAGGAGGACAAGGGCTGGTGAGTGATTATCTTCTAACTTTGACAATCTCCCCTGTGCGTGTCTCTCTGGCTAGCTTGCCTTTGGTGGGCTAGGGGCTTGTCTCCCAGAAGATCCGTGCTATAATGCATCTTTCAAAAAACTGAGAAATTTCAGGCAGCTTTTTAAGCTGTTTCTAGGGACCGATTCACAGAAGGGGTTATTTTCAGCTTCGGTGCTGGTGACTGTTTCTATGTGTTAATTATAATGGGAATGTTGAACATGCTGTCAATTAAACAGTCTTTCTTCATCATCCTGCCTCATTCAGCAATAAGGTAAGGACAGGTACCCCAACACGGTCTAGACAACTTAGTCTTCTCCGCTGTTTAATCATTTACCACGTTATTCTGTTCTGACTGCAAAGCAGACTGGAATTTGAGATTGGAAAAATAGATTATTAAACCATAATTCTGATTTTTAAATAAGTATGAGATTTCTCCATTTGAGAGGTGGGAGAGCAGGCTGTGAATGACCCTGGATGATGTAAAATCTCCATGTAGGTTTTGATGGTTCCCTGCCAAAGTTTTACATGGGAAAGTGGTAATTTCCTTCATTTGCAGAGGAGGGAGTGGAGAGGCTGAAGCTGGCGTCACCTTCTGTTGCTAAGGTAACATGTTCTGGCCATTTTATCTGATAGAGCAAGTCCAGTGAACAGAATACATTATTCATCACTGATCTAATCAGATAATCAAAACTGTTTACTTTCGCTGGGAATATTTAGTAAGATCAAAGGCAGCTGGTTGAAACTGCTCATTTGGACTATTGACAGCCCTCGGCTTTACAGCTTTATTTTTGCAGTAAGTATAATTCGTGGTTGGGGTACCTTTGCCTATTTTTTAAAAAGTTTCCTCTTACCAAACTTGGTTTCTTGGATGAGAGTGTGTGGTCTTAGAACACCAGTGATTGCTTGAGCCTCTTGATTTTTAAGGACTTTTTGTCTTGCTCCTCCTTAAAGCGATAACAGTGCAGAAATAGAGGTAGTTCATCTGTGCCAGTATCGGAGGGGGGGGGACCTCCACGGGCTCCATGCGAAGGGACGCAGCTGTTTTTCATGCGGGGCTAGTGCATGCTATGGGAAAAGTTGCATGGCTGTGATGCTTGTCACTGCTGCACGAACCACAGTTCGGTACCAAAGCAGCCTATACCGGGCATAGGCAGAAGAGCCGGCAGCACTGTAGAGAATGCTGAAGGGATGGCTGAAGAATAAGGAATCCAAGGTATTTGTACAGCAAACAAGCCAGCATGTATTGCAAGGTATCTAGGGAAGGAGGCTCAGATTCTCAGAGGGATTCTCTCACTAAAGGGGACACCAGAAGCCCCTGTGTCCATTAAAGAGCAACCTGCAGGATGGATGTCACTTTCTAATGCCATCTATCAGACAGACTTTTAAAAACTGGAAGTAGATTAATTTAAAAGTATATCTTCTGGCAGCTACAATACACCTAGGAGAAAACAGTACGCTACTTCTCTTTAACCTGGATCATTGCGTGTTCTTTTTTTTCCTAAGTGGAATATATTATTTCTAATCAGTGTTAACTAAAGGTTGCGTATTCTCATACAATACAAAGACTCTGGCAATGGGAGCTTTGAAATTAGAAATGTCAGTCAAATGTTGGCATATGATAATAGAGTATTCTTATTTTTTTAAAAAAATTAAGGAGTAGACACACTTGACAGCCTGAAATACTGTGGTTTTGTTTCCCTCTTTATAGATATCTACGTGATTAGTTTCCCTCAAAATCCTGTTTTGAACATCGAAGATGGACTATCCCAAAATGGATTATTTTCTGGACGTCGAGTCTGCTCATAGACTCTTGGATGTGGAGTCAGCACAAAGATTCTTCTATAGTCAAGGAGCTCAAGGTAACAAAGGGAAAAGAGGGAAGCCCCCCACCCTCAGGCTGCTTTGCGGCAAGCCATGCAACGTCAGCTGCACCAGCTTAAGCTCCCTCTTAAAAGTTCACCGATTAATAGTTCCAGATTGATAACATTTACCAAACTGCTGCTGGAATTTCAGAATAGGCTAAATAAATCCACTCATCTTGCGGGTGTTAACAAGTGTTGGCTGCAGACCTCCGAGGGCGGTATTAGAAAAGGATTCCCACCCCCTTGAGTCCGGAGCTTATGCCTGAGAGGACTGAGGAAATTTTTAGGCGGGCATCTATTGAACTGGTGGAGATCCTCGGGCACCCTGACCTAGCCGAGTGCCATCTGGCTGGATTGTGGGCTTCTGAGATAAGTGTGCCACTTTGTAACTGCCTTATCTACACTCAGTGGTCTGGGTTGCTGCCTGGAGAATCCTCAATGCACACTCAAGGCTCTCCACCCCCTTCTGTGAAGTGTGACAGTCTGTGTGTTTTTCATTACCTAGTTCAAGGTAGTCGATTAGGTCCTAGTGTGCTTGCTCCTCTCTCCCAGGTTCTATTTAGAATGTTTGCTGTCGTTAAAGTAACAGAAAAGAATCCCAAGTGTTTTATTCTCTTGATGGGTAGGAGATTTAAAAAAAAATAATCACAGTTTGTGTTTTTCATGACATTCTAAAGATGTTCAGTCAAGTGATGGCTGTGCCCCAGAGCAAGGAGGTAACACACTAAAACGGAGGACAGTGGTCCTGCTTAAATAGGAAAGTAGCTGAATTCTTGGAAGTTGCAAAGCAGAGATGAAAAGGAGTTACACTATGCTATATATAATCCAGGTATCTTTCACTGTTGCATGACAGGAAGCCTGTCTTGAGCAACGATAATAATTCCCCCAGTTTCCCCAAGTGTTCTTATATATTGTTTTTGCTTTACTCGTGACTTGAGGTAACCCTGAGGGCTTGTGAGCATCCTGCTTCCATTTTCTGGTTGTGAGCCCATGTTCTTAAGGTCAGGAGGGACTGGATATTATCTGCAGGATTTGTTTGGGTCAGCAGGCTCAGCAACATAGCTTGATTTGGCAAAAAATGATACCGTGGCGAATCCCCATCCTCTAAGAGGAGGGAGACAGCATTGCTGCTACTTTCTGCCTCTTTAAGAAGTGTTGCTAGGAAGACGGGCGAGAGGCTAGTTAACATCTACAGCTTGTTATGAATCTACAAGTAGGTTGGTGGCTAGAAGTAGGTGCGGAGCTAGAACAGAAAGGAGAAGAGAGGAACTTCCACCCTGTCACGGGACCTGACTTTCTACACTTCCGCATCTGCCCCGGTGCGTTCCATTCTGAGCCTTGTTCCATGGCAGGCTCAACCACCTGAGCTGCAGATGGAGAAAAGAAAGAGTAGCTGGCTGTGAAGGGTAAAGCTGTCGATTCACTTTGTCTTGAAGATGATGGACTCTTGGCTTTTATGGAAGGAAAGCAGGCAGGGTGTGTGGGAGGCTTGAAGATTACAAGGCAGGCTGGTAGCTGCAGCAGATGGAGCTCTGGGGGTGGAGTGGTCAGAATTGTCACCAGCAGTGACGGTGGTTTAGGCTCCAGAGCTGGAATAACTGGGAAATACATGGGAAGCAGTGGCATAAGCTATGTCTTCTCCTTTGGATCGTGTGGGTGGGGAGGATGCTACCCCAATCTAAGAATCCTAGGTTTGCAGGATTGAGAGTGGTCTTCCCAAACATCAACGAGATCAGGATCCCCAAATTAGAAATCTAGGTGTTTCTGAAGTCTCAGAGTTTGCAGTTAAACAGGGGTGACAGGCAGCATTGGTGAGAGAGAGAGAGAGAGAGAGAGAGAGAGAGAGAGAGAGAGAGAACCGTTCCCTTGGGACCCATATTTAAAAATCAATGCATAAAGCCTTTTGCAAATTGACAACAGTGACAGATTTCTAAGTTGTTAAGCTCATTAATGAGGGAAAGTTTTAAAGTGCTTAAAACAACAACTGCTACAAAAGACACTGTACATCAGTGAATCAATAAAATAGATATCCCATGTTAAAGGACCTCCCTCTTCTGATCGAGAGTCCACGAGATAGCTAAGACTTTGCAAATAAGAAATGTTAACTTACAGTAATTCAATTTCCTGTTTCTAGTGAAAGGCAAGTATACACGTGCTCACACACACACACACACACACACACACACACACACACACACATGAGGAATGTTTAGTAAACACAGTATCACTAAGATTTTGTGTCTTGTCCCAACAAAACCTCCAACAGGACAAACTTCAGCAATAGTGGAAGTGTGCTCTGATACATCCCCCTACCCGCTATTTTACTCTATATCAAAACATGGTCCCAGATCCCCCAACACCTAGGACCATCACCATGGAGTCTCCTGCTTTCAGGAGCTCTGCCTCCACTGTGACCAGGAACTTCACTACAGCCCCCAGCTCCCCTGCAGCAGCCTATGTGCACTGTGCATGGGTACTGAGTCTTTCCAAGACACCAAATCCCTAGGCCTTCAGAACATTCCAGATGAACAGTGAGTGGGTGAAGGATGAACAGCACGGCCTGCAACCCTCACTTCCCACAGTAAACACTCGTGTTTCCAATGGATGGTTGAAACCTGTGTTGAATCCATGTCAAGACTGAGGTCTAGGGGAAGGAGGGGTATGTGAAAGGCATGTAGAGCAAAGAGAATTTAATCTCACTTCAGGCAGCTCTCTACTAAGCCAGATTAGACCAGTATTGAGCGGTATGAGGAAGCCCTGAAAGCCTGAATGTGATACCCTCGTCTGAAATGGCCTAACTGGGAGTTTCATGCAGATGTCACAATCAAGAGCTTGGGTTACCGAAAGCCTGATTGGCTAGGCTGTCATATGTTTGTTGCCTGTGTCATTCATTCATGTGATGATTTCTATAGATTGAACAAGTGTACTCAGAGTTATAAACCCTTTCAGGAAGAAACAAAAAGTCTGAGGGCTCCCCTTCTTCCTCCCCTGTGTTGTATATACTGTTCAAAGAATTCTAGAAAACAACACCTTCAAAATCAAGTATAGACAAAATGTCTATCTAAAGCAATAGTTTTAGAAGTGTGTTTTTGACTGACTTATGGGCATTTTAATTGTTCTTGGAAAATGAAAATATCCTGTTCCAAAATAGGGGAGGGTGCTCTAGTTAGCTAATACAAGAAGAGTTTAGGGAAGGTTCTAGAAGGGAGGGTAAAAAGAAGTCCACAACTTTTCATGAGTCCCTGAGATTGTCAAGTCTGTGCCCTGTTCTGCTAATGAAACAGCTTGTTGTCTCCAATATCCATTTCTCTTTGGTGTGAGTGTAAGATGGGGAGAATTAGCTGACTTGGAATTCTGCTATCAAAAACAGGGTGTGTTGTGGAGAACAGGGTGGGGGCGGCAAAGCCCACAGGCCTCCTGGTTGTCCCCTGGAGACAGATGATGCTCTTCTGGTTAGCTGGGACTTCTTCACCCCCAGAAAATCCTGGCAACATGGAGGGAACTCTGTGAAGGCCACCTGTAACTCAAAAGGAAGGTTCTGGAAACTGGAGGTCCCTATGACTTCAAAGAGCAGATGGGTCTCCATATGCCATAATTCAGGTTCACCCATCAGTAGATTCTGACAATGATACTCCCTCCCTTAGCTTTAAGCTCAGTGATTTGACAATGCCCAACTGAACAGAGAAGGACCTAATGGAATTTTCCTGGTTTAAATAAACATCAGGCCAGCCCTTCCCTAGACTAAGTGAAACAAAATCTGAATGGCCAAGTCTCTAGAACACCAACTTCCAACAGGCTTCTGAGTTATTCAACCATGATGGGTCATCTCTGCATGTTTTGTGCATGATTAGTGCTAAAGTTTAAAAGGAAAGCATTGTATCTAAAATAGATTAGAAACACCCGAGGAAATTCACAGGGTCCTCCATGACTGAAGACCCACTGCACCCCAACTGAATCATATTCTCTAAAATGGCAGTGCCCCAAAGAGAATCTTTTTAATTACTTCCAATGAGCAATCAGGACTGAGATCTGAAGACTATATATATATATATATATATATATATATATATATAACATCTTTACATATATTTATTATCTTGGTCTTATCACATCCTATAGCTGTTTTTATTTTTGTTTGGGGAGAGAGGTGAGTGCTGGGGATTGAACACAAGGCAGGTACTCTATTACTTTACCAGTAAGATACATACATGTATTCCATTCTGCTGTGGCTATTTTTGCCCGAATATCTTTCATAAATTAAGTGTTATAAACTACCTTAAATTTTATTTCCCATCAACGATGGAAATAGATAGCATAGGTGAGCACTCTGCCACTAAGCCACACACTTAGCCCCCAAGGTCATCTCTTTTAATGGGCTCAAATCATCAAGAGTGGCAAATAGACATCGAGAAATGAACACAAACCAGAGACTGCATTTGATATATTCATTGCATGTGCTCATCCCCATGAAACATTAGGATACCGGAACTGCATCATTATGTGCATGTTGCAGATTAGAACATTTAAGATTGGGGGCTGGGGAGGTAACTCAGGAAAGGGCTTGCCACAAAAGCCTGAGGTTACGTGTGTGTGAGGACATGGGGTTCCTATGCTTGGAAAAGTAGAAATGGGAATCTTTGGCGCTTGCTGTACCGACAACCTCAACTGAGTTCCAAGACCTAGTGAGAGACTGAGTCTCAGAAAATGCAAATGTAAATAGTGCCTAAGAAACAGCAACCAAGTTTGACATCTGATATCCTCAGTCACATGCAACGTACACGTGAGCTCACACGCTGGTACAATGTAAGATTGACAGGTTAAAGATTCGTGAAAAAGCCATCCATTTGGATATTAGCAAAGCTAGGATCTGATTAAAGTATGTCCAACTCCGAAGCCCAAGCTCTTTGAAATATCACAAGCTCTTTGAAATATCCTTCCTTGCTGGAAGGAGATGCCTTTTCAGCTGGCCAAGATGATAAAAATCAACCAGGAAGGCA